CAAGAGAGAGTGAGTAGTTGGGGTGGGTTGTAAATAGTGCTGTTAAATTAAACGAGTCTGGCTCGGCTCGAGTTCGAATCCTTAACGAGCCGAGCTCAAGCTAATTTAAAGCTCGTTTGGCTAACGAGTTGAGCTCGGCTCGGCTCGATAAAGCTCGTTAAGGTTCAAAAAGTGAAATTTATGTAATTTTTTATAGTTCGACTCGTTGAAGCTCGAGATCGGCTCATTAAGGCTCGAGCTCGAGGCCTTAATGAGCCGAGCTCGAGCTCGATTTTTAGCTCATTTACTTAACGAGCCGAGCTCGGCTCGACTCGTTAAGAGCTCGAGTTCGAGTTCAAACACCTTAACCTCGAGCTCGACTCGGCTCATTTACAGCCCTATTTGTAAATGATGATAAGTAGCAGATTTAGGTTGTAAATGATGGTAAGTGGCAGATTTAGGTTGTAAATGATGGTAAGTGGCATATTTATTTAATGTGGAGTGGGGCACATATGTTTTAATGTAGCGTATAAAATTACTGTAATACTCTTAATGAAGGTATATATTTTTTTTTTATAAGTTGTTGGATCATGCGATCCAACATGAAAGATACTTTGTTATGGCATAAGTTCAAAATTACACATAATTGAAGGCATGTTCGAACAAGTACCTGGAACCACAGAAAAAAGAGAAGATCTCTGTGTTATATTATTTCCTTACTAAGATTATTTCATATACTCATATATAAGATTGTATGGATCTTATTATGGTATTTATATTGTAAGAAATTCGATTACGTGTCAACAAGGAAAGAGAGGGATGTATGACTAAGAGATCTTGGAGAGAGAAATAAGAGATATACACTTACCAAAACTCTAGCATTATTCAAGGAAGGAAATCACAAGAATGAGTCATATTTTTGGTGAAGATTTCAACCCTAAGGAGACTGAATAAATATCCTACGTGAAGCTCCATTTGCGGCTGCTGCGATCATTAATCTCGAGAGCAATATTCGAGCTTCATATATTTTCTGTTCCTTTGGTTTTTTGTTGACAGTTCAATTCGAGGGTTCTTACGCATCCAAGAACTAAAGTGGTTTGGCTTGTTTGTTTTTCTTTATTTCATTCAAACTATTTTTGTGTTTTACACTTAGGGATTAAGTGTAGGTTAAAAAGTCCACGGGACGTGGCCAGAGAAATAGTTGATAGGATCGTGCGTAGTTGTGACTAGACTAGAAGGGAGTTCGAGTCGTGTAAGTCCAAACTATGCTTTGTTGCGGTTTATCAATGAACGAGCTCTGAGAGGAAAGGGATGCTTCTCTGGAGAGTGTTTAAATTCTTTGGTTAATTGCTTCCGCATTCTTACATTATTTATCTACATTTGTACAATGTGTGGCGCACTCGCGATAAAATCATACATTTCACAACAACTATGATTTATTCTCATTGTTGATTATTCTCTCTTTTTTTTTTTTAACTAAACACATTTCTCACGTGAACTCAACCATATACATATGTGTGTGTACAATTTTGATTTTTCTCATTAGTACTCAACCAACTTAACAATACTCGTTGTGTTTGGTGGTGTGGGCAATTGGCGGCCCGAAAATTGGCGGATCTTTGATTCGCTAAGGCGGGGATTGCCTTTGTATGCTGTTGTACAGAGGAACCGTTATGGCTAAAAATGCATACGATATATAAAACCATAGTTCTTATTATTATTATTATTATTATTATTATTATTATTATTATTATTATTATTATTAAGTTAACCGTATACTTGAAGATAAACTAGGACACCAAGGGTCCACAACAGCCGCGAGACAACAACAGTAGAAAATGAAGAAGAAGAAAAAAAAACGTCCAAAACATAAAATCGCCACACAAACTATATATGAATGCAGCTCAAGACACCAAGGGAATGCAGGTGTTGAGCGTCGAATAAGTGGGGATGCTCTGTTCATGAAGGAAGAAATCAAAGGGATCGGCCTTCGTTTTCGCAGCCACGAGCCTCATGAAGTTGTTCTTGAAATACTTGTGTCCCCATATGCTCGGGCAGCTGCAGTTGGGGCAGTTCTTCTCATCCTTCCCCAGATCGAGATCCCTGTAGTTCACGTACGCCCGTCTCGGATTACTCGACACGTAAGGGGTCATCATCTCATACACCCCCCTCACCCACTTTTCATTCTGGGCCTGCGTCTCGGGGCTCTTGTCTTCCGTTGCCCACTGCCCCACGTACTGCACCATGAACAGCGTGTTGTTGCGGTGCGGAAAAGGAGTCGCGTCCTCCGCAATCTCCCATATTTTTCCCCCGTAAGGCGTCATCACCACCAGCGACCCGTTGCTCTGCTGCTTCACGGCTTCGCACAGCTTCCTCAGCCCTGCTCTCGGGATGGCGGTTTGCACCATATCCGACTTCGCTTTGAAACTGGGCTTCCACACGCTAATCCTCTTGAGCAGGTAATCGGGCGTCATGCTCGAATTGTATCCACCAATTAGCATCACGGACTCGATCCAGCTCGTCTCCAAGAAGTCCTTGTCGGTCAACCCCAGTTGGGGGAATTTATTCTTCATCAGTCGGACTGCTTCGGCCTTACTCCCGAGGAACATCGAGCTGTAGATCGTCATCACCGTCGAATTGTACGGCTCTATCAGGACCCTCATGAAGAGCTTCTTGTTGACAACCGGGCCCACGTTCTGCCACTTGTACAGCACGTCAATCCCGTTTGGCTGGTCGAGCGTCTTGACGACGTTGAACACAGTGACCTTTTTGGGTACCTTGACGAGTCGTACCTTCCACTCGAGCACGACCCCGAAGCTCCCCCCCGCCCCGCCGCGGATGGCCCAGAAGAGGTCCTCGCCCATCGACGCGCGGTCGAGGAGCCGGCCGTCGGCCGTGACGAGCAGGGCGTCGACCACGTTGTCGGCCGCCAGGCCGTACGTCCGCATCATCATCCCATAGCCACCGCCGAGGAAGTTCCCGGCAACTCCAACGGTGGTGCAGAGGCCGGCGGGAAAGCCGAGCGTCCCGCCGCTGGCATTGGCCGCCGCGTAGTAGAGCTCGCCGACGGTGGCCCCCGCCTGGACCACCGCGGTTTTCGAGACCACGTCGACGGTGATATTCCGGAGATTCTGGAGGTCGAGGACGACGAAGGGGAGGCCCATGAAGGAGGCGTAGGAGAGGCACTCGTAGTCGTGGCCCCCGTTGCGGACACGGATGCGGACATGGTTTTGGAAGGCGCAGGCGACGACCCACTGGGCCTCGGCCTCGGAGTAAGGGGTGATGATGAGGGCGGGCTTGGGGATGTTGGGGGCAAGGCACTTGGTGTCCATGGCGGTGGAGTTAAGAATGGAGGAGAAAGACGGGTCGGAAGGGAGGGTGAAGCCGGTAGGTGTGTCGTTGGACGACAAGTGGCTGTTAATGCACTGGTGGAAAGGTTTCGGGTCGAAAGGGGGTGGAGAACTGAGCGGT